ACACAAAGAGTGATAATTTAACACATATGCTTCCTGAATCTACCTCTCTGGCATTAAAATCTCCAAGTTTTCCTGTAAAGAAATGAAACAAGAATGATAACACTTCACCTGTAAAATTGAAAATATAAAAGAAGATAATTTTGCATTTGGTTTTAGGAGGTCTGTGAATCATTTTCTTAATAATTTTCAAAATAATGTCCTCATTATTAATTTTTCAAGTAAAAGAACATGAAGGGAAATATTGCAGAACCCTTTTCCAAGGCATTATTGCAGAAATGTAAAGCTTAACTTACCTAAAAGAATAATAAATGGTCAGGACTTTTGTTGAACTATTCTTTTGTAGTTGAAGTAGACACTATTTCCCAACTTCTTTTCTGGGAAGACAACTTTGAATAATTTAGAAATTGACTAAAACAAAAGGCATTGGTGGAGTTCTTATGATTTTTAGCATTATTAAAGAAATGACCATTTATATATTTTATTCATTCACTTTTCTTCAGTGTACATTGCCCTGAACCATATCAAGACACTTAGAAACAATATATTAAATTTTGTGAATATGTGAGAAATTTGAAAATGGGTTGTATGAGACAACATAGAAAGCAGCAAGTTAAGATGCTCTTGTCGAGACATATGCTGTCCTTCACATATTTGACATAGAAAGAAAACAATATTTATTAGGCAAGAAAATAAAATTGCCAGCATCATTATGAAAATTGGCCTACATTTCAACAGCACATTTTGAAAATGTATCCATCATAGTAAATCTCTTCTTTCAAAAAGAATTCTGTATGAGTTTCTACTGAACTGGATATGTACTGTTTTCCTTGTTCTCTTCCCCTCCCTCACCTTTAGCTAGTAGAGGTAAGTCATGAATCCTGAAGGTCAGTCCTCATTAGCCAAGTGTACACTGGTAGCATTACTCCTCTTCTTCCTCTTTCTCCTCCTCCTCCTCTCCTCCTCTGCCTCCTTCTATATTTTATTGATTGTGTGTTTTGACTACATTTCTTCTCTCTTTCTGGCCTTGTATCCCACCTTCTTTATGCTGTCATTCTGGACCTCTCTATTTATACCACTCATTTCACTTTTTACTGACCTAAAAAGTCATAGACATAAGGTTGATCTAAATACTAGCTTCAAATTTCATTTAAAAGCACAGATTCTGAGTAATTTAAGGTGCACATGTGTGTAAATCATGTTGCCTGGTCATGAAACAATTTTCACAAGCATCATTATATTTTGTAATTTTCCACAGGTTTAGGGGAGCAGTTGCATCAGTAAAATTTGCTAATATCATATAATCATTAATTACATTTTTCTCAAAAAAAGTCTTTTATTTCCTATCTAAAAATTACAATGTAGGTGTATTTCTGTGTAGCAGTTTTCCTCACCTTCATGTACTTATTTTGTTTATAGAGCAGGTTTCATAATTCTATATTTCACTACCTCTAAGACAATTATTCTCAATGCATGTGATATAGAAAAATGCATTAGGATGTGTATTGCATCATGTCACAAAGGCATTTCTTCCATATTTGATATTTTTCTATTGCCTTTACACACAAAATTAAGTGAAAAAGTTAGTCATGAAAAGGACAATAAAAAACATAATTAGATTAAAATGGTAACCCTAAATATTTTATGACAGAGTACAAAAATATTATGTGTCATGTTACTAAGTAATTTATCATTTTTCTCTTTAGTATCTCATTAAAATTAAAAGTTCCCATTTGCAGGAAAGTACATCAAAATCACAATAAAAATATAATCTTTTCATTTAAAATGAAACACATACATATTTCTCAAGAATGTGTAAATTAAATATTCAGGAAGGAAAAATTCCTGTGTATAAAACTGTTCATTTTAGGAATGTCCATTTGTATGAGTGGGAGAGAAGATAAGGAAAGAAAGAAAAGAGGAGGGAAGAGAGAGAGAGGATGGGTTTTCTTATTTATGATTATATTAACTAAGAGTGTATACAAATAAAAACGAATTACATAACCTTCATCAAAAGTTCTAGTAACTCACTGCAATATACTTTTCGGTCAAAATAAAATGTTTCTATTTTCTCTAAAATATTTCTATTCTTAAAACTCATAATTTCTTCTTTTATTGAAGGAGGCCATTATCCTTTGTGTTTTAAGATCATCTATCTTCCTTAAGAAAAGCTCATCTAATAAACCAGGTTCATCAGCCTTAAATGTGAGGCAGGTAGGAGTATGCATATGAACTGGTTTCTGCTCAATTGCTTGAACACAGAAGAACACTGCTCAAAGGAAAGAGAAAATGTTCCTCTGTAAGTTCTGCAGCATTGTCTTATTTTTGTACCAGTACACAACAGTTTGTCTACAAAGTTGTCAGTGTGTTTAGGCTAAAGATAGCAATTTGGAGTTTACAACAGACAAGACAATGGAGTTACACTTTCAGTGGATAGACCCAGCAATCTCATCATGCGAAGTTGCATTGTGAGACTGTACCACAGCAGAAATTCTGTAGAAAATGATAAACTACGTTGCTGTTGTACAACAAAACCCTTTGCTCCTATCCATGGGGTGATGGTGACTTGATGTGTATGCCAATCTCCTGTGTTAATTATTTACTTTCCTATGATATGTCCAGTCAAGCACTGAGTTCTTCATACTTTTAAACATCCAATAATTCTGAATATAGTTTCTTTTTCCTTTTTATTCAAAACATCAAGTACAAATTGCTTCTGATGTGCACATGAACATTTAGTCTTCAATGTACTTGTAATATGTGATATGAAGGAGTTAAACTTACAAGCAGAGAAGCTGGTCTTTATCATTTAAAAAAATCCTCTCAAGGGAAATGGGATCCTTTCAACTGATTTGTCTGGGGTGGAGTTGGTGAGAGCATCCTCTCCGGAAAACCTACTGACTTCTACAGCAAGCCTCAGTGCAGTCCCAGCCCCAGCATTTCATACCCCACAATACTCTGACCAGGTAACCCAAACGCGAGGATCCCAGGAAAGTGACATCTGTCCTCCTTGTTTTTGTAGGAAATAGACATATCTACTTTCCTGTATCGTGCACCAGGGAGCTTTGCACAGCAGCATGAGTATATGTCCTTACAGGCACTTGTACAAGTATGTGCAGGCACACACACTCACACACCACGTCCACCATCATAACAGCACATATCCCACACAGTCTCACAACAAACACACAGGATGGGGAGCAAATCACCCTCTGGGATGGATTCTAGACTTCAGACCCCCTGCATTCTTTTCTAAATGCCATGTTCTGAGTTGCCAGCTTAGGAGCCCAGGTTACTGCTCAGCTAGCCCCCCACACCACCCCCAACCCTCGAGAAAGCCCTTGGTGTCCGTGTTCAGGAGAAAAACTATCCGACCCGTACGGCCACAAAAGAGCAGGAAAGAAAAACAAAGAAAGAAAACAAGTACCACAAACAGCCAAAAAGCCATGCAAGATTTAGGCGAAAGGTTGGGAAGTTTCAGGAGAGGACTGCAAACTGAAGTTTGTGCGGGACTTTTTCAGACTGGAGCCCTACCACTGAGCGCAGCCTAGAAAGGACCAGAAATTAGTGAGTCCTTCCAGTCCTCTTTCCCCCACCGATTTACAGTGCAAGGAAGCAGGACTCAGTATAAAGTTGAATGAAGGTGATGAGACATGCAAAAGAGTAAAAGAAGCGAGGGAGTCGAGAAACGCGTGTCTCACCTGGCATTGGTGCAATCGGTGAACAAAGTTTCGAAGTCTTTTCTGGTGATGAGTTTGCAGCGGTTCACCCCAGGCTGGATGGCCCCCAGCCCGCGGAGGATCCGGACTTGCTCCACAGTACACACCACGGGGGATATGTCCAGTCTCTTCAACTTAGTGTATACCGTGTGCAACCCTCCCACCAGGTGCTTGAGGAAAAGATCAAAAACTTGAGGCAGGCAGATCAGCTCCTGGCCGTCCATCAGGAATGAAGCCACCTTCACCCCGTGCATGTCGACCATCCGGCACTCGTTGGTGTTGGTGTTGCCGCTGCCACCGCTGCCACCACCAATTCCGCCTCCCCCAGCACTGCCGCTGTGGTTACTGGCCATGAAACTGTTGATCATATTAGGGGTTAGGCGAGGGGGTTCTCCCGGAGTCGAATACAGGGGTTCAGCCCGGAATAAGCCCCCCGGGACGCCGGCGCTGCTGGAAGTTGCAGAGATCACCGGAGGTGCGGAGACAGCCATGGTCACTCCGTCTCAAGCTTGGCTCCAAGGGCCCTCGCTTTCTCGCCCTGACTCCTTTAGGTCCCCAGGCACTTACTCCCTGACTCTCGCTCGCTCCCTGGGGCACAATCTTTCTCGAAACTGTTCCCAAGTCTGAAGCAGCCTGGCTCCCGCTCAAGCTCACCCACCACCCTGCAAACAGTGAGCGGCTCCGACCCGCGGCGGCCGGAGAACCCACCCCCACCACACCCCCTCCCAAGACTGGC